TCAAGGCAGCACGAATCGGCGGGCCAGCAAGATAGACACTCTCGCTCTTGTCTGCTTACCGTCGGGACGCGTGATCCGAGGGCTACCCGTTGTGAGTTTCCACGGGCATGTGTGCGAATTGTGTAGGTATACTTAATAGCATTGTACTGCACCGAGCGACAACAGGAGACGCAGCAGCGGCTACCTGTTGACGACCCGGGCTGCTGCGACAACCTACACACATACACTGCCAAGGACAGTTGGGTCCAAGTGCCGACACCTGCCAAACGGATCTCCCGGTGCCCGAAGCTAGTGCTACCGAAGATACCCCTGTAGTAGTGAAAACGGTAGGCCTGTTTCCTTTGTATCCCGTCCCTACCGCGTGAAAGCATTGTGCCGAGCAGCAACTGCCGAACCTGCACCCGCAGGGCTAAGGCTGCATATGAAGTCAGGTCAGGTCGGATAGTTATAAGCAGTGTAGTCTTTGTATAGAATTATTGTATCGAGTTACGAGGAAATAAGTACATAATGCAAATAAATGCTTGAATGNCACAAAAAAAAAAAAATTATAAAAAAACCAGAACACAAAAGGAAAAAAATAATGTTAAATAGGAAGATACACGAGTAAATCAGTCTGGCTCGACGCGCTCCAACGCCACATAGTTTTAATTTTGGCTCGTATAACACGTCCGCTCCCTCGAAAGTCGAAGTAATCTCAAAGTGTTGCATTGCGATCGCTTATTTACTTATAAATGGCAATATTGAATTTATACAACTCATGACCGTGAGTTTTATTAAAACTTCGCACAACACATTATTTACATGCTGTGCGCCTCGAATGGCTTTCGTTGCTATGTATATGCTATGTATATATTCCTTACACGCATTAACTTATTAAGGGTGTAATGAGTAGTTCTACCAGAAATCAATGCATTTACAAAAACATTTAAACTTGGAAATATATTGTCATGTATATAGAATATTGGCCAAAATTTCGTTCACATTACCACAATATAATTAGGTATGTATACATTTTATTTTAATTCGTAGCACCTGTCAATAATTGATCACGTGAAATACAAATCAACATGTTCATGCTCAGTCCACGTTGTCATTGTTTTTATTTTATTTTTTAACCTTACACTTCGACAGTAACGTTGTGAAAGCTACTGAAACTTCATAACTAGATCGGTATTGATTATTTATATGAAAGATACGTTTTTTAAGTGGATATTTATAAAATTAATTTAAATGTCAAATGGCAATTAAAATTTGACTGTACTAAGATATGAATATAAAGAATTTTTTTCAATAATTTTATGTTGAACTGCTCTACTGATATCACTGAAAAACGTTTATTTCTTTTTTCATCATTATTCTTTACATTTTCTATAGTATTATTGAAATTTGAGATATGTTTGTAATAAAGTTATACCGGTTGTATTTCTACGCCGAAATATTACAGAGTAAAAAATAGTTTTTCCTTTATTTGATTCATTTTTTTTCATTTTTATAATAGTACTATTTAGTACTAAAGCACTACAAAAGTAGAGTAGTATAAATTGTTTTTTTTTTTTTTTTAATATTGATGAAAATTTTAATTAAATTGTATTATTTCTGTTTTAAGTCTAAAAACTTTCAACTTCGTAATTTGTTTTAATTTTTTAGCAATTCACTGCCAATGAAATTTTAATTACATAATCTAATTATCATACATTATTTATTTAAAGTTTTTTGTGATGGAATAGTAATAATTTAAAGAACCAATGATCATGGATCAAGTATTAGAAGTTGTATGATCAAAAGGTGAGAATTGTATTAGATTTGTTCAAAAATTTAGACGTAGAGATTTTAAAACTATTTCAAAAGATAATCGAACTGTTCTAAAAAAGAAACTAAAAAGGTAACATCAAAATGCCGCTCTCTTAGTTTATTCTATACTTACGCATCACAACGCTGTCATTTGGTTATCAATCGTTTTAAGGCACTAAATTTTAAAAATGAGGGAAGAAAAAACCATTTTTTTTGACACTCAGCGTACAAAGTTCAACTTCTTAAGAAGTCAGGTCAGGTCGGATAGTTATAAGCAGTGTAGTCTTTGTATAGAATTATTGTATCGAGTTACGAGGAAATAAGTACATAATGCAAATAAATGCTTGAATGTTGATCTCACTCATTCTTACGTGTTTAAGTGCCAACTATCCATCCTATCCATTTAGCCCTATTGTAAAATAAATATGTGCCGTGTCTTGCTGCTGACTGCAAGGCGAGCAAGGACCCATCACAGTATATCAGTTAAAAATTAAATATTTAACTTTAAATAAACCAAAAAGTCATGAGGTTCACACATGGACGTAATAATTAATTAAAATCTCGTTTCTGTATATTTATATGTTTTATGTATACAATAAGTTATCGATAACAAAATCTTACGACTTAATTACATTCTTAACTTTTGTCGCACACGCACACCCAAGCGCTTCTTTTGAATGTCATTATTTTTCATGTATTGCACATAAATTCATGTTTAACAAGATTTGAAGTTGCAATCACGTATTGTCTCGAGTACAATGCAACAAAACATCATTTAACATCTTTATCAGCACCAAAGCGAACATTACGACTGCTGACTTGTTTGAGATTTCAAAATTAATTACCATTAGAACAATTCAAATTCAACAAATATGTTCAAACGTGTGATTAAAGTTTGGGAAATATTATTAAACGTTATATAAACTAAAACTATAATGAGAAATTATTTTTTTTGCGTAAAAAACAAAGGTTTCGAATATAATTTTCTAGAACTCATAAAATTGTATTGTAATTGTTGAGATATAATTTATACACATTTAGAGCGTAAAAATAATGAAAAAATTGTTACCAAATAACTTAAAAAATTGACATTTATTCTTTTTATTATTATAAGAAAACGTACTATATGTTACAAAAAAGCACATACAAAAAAAAATGTGGAATATTTTAATAATCGAGCAACGCAATTTTTTCCGAAAATTGGCTCTAACAGTGACGGAGAAGTTTTTAACATAATTAAACCAAAAGAAATTTACAATACAAACACAACTATTAGCCTATTATAATTAACAACATCACGCGTTTGATAATCCTTTGATATTTATTAAAGGTGTATAAAAAAACATTTGGCTGGGATCATTTGAATCCAAGCACAAAATATACCAGCTTCATAATTTATACAGGTGTTGAGGTAAATAAATACAAAATCTTACAATTTTGGGTTACACTCGTGTTACCACAGAAATATATTTTTTTTTTTTTTATAATAATTTCTCAGGGGCAAAAAAACTTTACGACAATCTGAATTAATTTTTTAGTTTTATTTACTGTATTAAAATGTTATTTTGATACATCGTAAGATATATCTACAAATATGTTACAATTATAAAAAAAAAAACTATGTATCTTTTACAATATTTTGGTACTTCCACTTTTCACATAAGCCCACCAGACTCACTTCCGATGGAAGCTGCTACGGATGTTGGGCCAACATAAAACATTGGAGATACTCGGCAGAAAGTAGTCTTTATTAAAAATATTTATGATAAGATATTACCTGTTGATTTAAGTTACTATCTGGGTATTTTTGTTATCTAAAGCAAAAAATTTCCAAAAATCCGCTAATGTGGTATTTTATAATTATTAAAATATTTTTACTGAACAAATAAATTACATAGCATTTTCAGCTTTCCAATAAAGTTTTATTTATTATAGCTACGTTTTTTTAGTATTAAGAAACTTTTTATTTGTTAAAATCACAGATCTCATAAAAAATGGCTCATAAATTTTTAAAGATGTTGTGTTTTACCTCGGATGTCAAGGAATGACAAAATATATAATTTTTACTATCCAATACAAAAAAAAAGAGTTTTGACAGCAAGTATTTGTTTTTTTATGTCATCATAAATTAAGTATCATTTGCCGTATAAAAACATTTAATTTTAAATTATGATTCACATTTCAGTTGAACCAATATAACACATTTTTAATACATCTTTAGTTAAAAAAAATCCAATATCAAATTCGGCAAAGATGGCAACAATTATAACACAATAGTGCTATTTCATTTTTAACCGATCCAACGTCTTTTATGACCGCAATATAAATTATCTTGACTATACATCATATGTGTCAGGGTTCATATGGAAAATGTCATACGATTTTGTAAAATTGAGATATGAATGTATACAAATTCCAAAGAAAATTAATGGTACACTAAGTATTAGAGAAAAAAAAAATTATGATCGGATCATAAATTTTATCTAAGCTTCGATAACTATAGGTACGTAACACGATTTATAAAGATCACTTTTCACGTGTAAATGGGATGTATTCAAGCAATATTTCTTAAAACAGACTAAACGAGTTTTGAAAATAATTTTTCTTTAACAAGTAAATTTTCATCCTTACAGGGTGATGTTGATTAAATAAATAATTCAATGATAATTCCAAGAATGACAATAACACTCAGTATATTGAAATATCTTACTAAAGGTATAATAGAGGCAAAATTATAAGGATAAAAGTATTAACAACACACAGAATTAAACAAACGTACCTACTTATAATTAAAGGAAAAATATACTTAAGTAATAAAATGTTTTTATTTATTTNTGATTGTCACAATTTTTGTGCCCGGTACTGCATTCACGTGGAGGAAACGCGAATGGAAAAAAAAAAAAAAAAAAAATGTTATACACTTCATATATAGTTAAAAAAAACCAATTTGTTTAAGTGAACAAAATAAAATTCTTATAACAAAATACTGTATAATTTACAGTGAAATTCTTATAAAAACGTTTTACTTATTTTGGCTCAAGAAATATTTAAAAGATTTCTACCATCAAAAATTTGGAAAGAAATTAAACTGAAAATTCTTTCTTACAATGAAGCTATCTAGATGATCTAGATAAAAAAGGAAGTTATCTAGATTATTTTTAAGTATTTTGAAAAAAATAAACTTAAAAGCATACTGTTACACATTCATAAAAAAATTATACTTTGGAAGGTGTAACAGTTTCGATTAACAAAAAAGTCCATGAGGAAATTCAGTAAAAAAAATTAAATAATCCATTTAATGAGAATTTATAACAACTTTAGAAACTTCCCATATAATATACGCATGGACCTTCTTGAACTCGGGAGGAAACGTAGATCGGACCAATCGTCACTCAAGCGATAAAATATAAAACGCAGAGGAGCAAGTGAGTACAACAAAATTGAGTCCATAAAAGAAGCTCAATATATTGCTCAAGAAACACTTTACTTGAAGAAATTATTTAATAACTTTGATTTAACAAAGTCACGTGGGTTAATTATTGTTCAATTGCACTCACTTTTGTCTCAGCCTTGGTTGTAGTACTACGTATCTTTTGGTTTTACTTGGACTCAATTTTTTAAGAAAAGAAAGAAGTAAACCCATTTTCTTTATTGTAAATTCTTAAAAATTAAAACTTTTTTGTCCATGTTATTGGCATATCTTTTAGAAAATCGAAATTATTTTTCCAGCGTATTTAAAAGTTTAGAATTTAAGAGAGTATTGCGAAATATTACATTGGAAATGTAGTTTTATATTAATCAACTTAATTCTACGTTAATTATCGCAAAAAATTAATCTTTTTTTCATTAATTTGTTCTAAGCTTCATTGCTGATCAAAAGAAAGAAAAAAGTCTAATGAAATTTCGAGTATTTTGAGCAAACAGCAAAAAAAAAAAAATTATAAAAAAACCAGAACACAAAAGGAAAAAAATAATGTTAAATAGGAAGATACACGAGTAAATCAGTCTGGCTCGACGCGCTCCAACGCCACATAGTTTTAATTTTGGCTCGTATAACACGTCCGCTCCCTCGAAAGTCGAAGTAATCTCAAAGTGTTGCATTGCGATCGCTTATTTACTTATAAATGGCAATATTGAATTTATACAACTCATGACCGTGAGTTTTATTAAAACTTCGCACAACACATTATTTACATGCTGTGCGCCTCGAATGGCTTTCGTTGCTATGTATATGCTATGTATATATTCCTTACACGCATTAACTTATTAAGGGTGTAATGAGTAGTTCTACCAGAAATCAATGCATTTACAAAAACATTTAAACTTGGAAATATATTGTCATGTATATAGAATATTGGCCAAAATTTCGTTCACATTGGCCCTGATGTGAGAGAAGTACTTACATATACCTTTGAAGTTATTGTAAGTATTTCAAAACTGCGGTGAATCACGCTGTTTCCTAAAACTTTGGAAACTTTTATATACTTTTGTCCAGATTAATATTATTTATTTTAAAAAAAGGAGTTGATTAATGTACCCACACTATTCCATGGTACATCTTTTTTTACCATACTCTGTACTCTCAGTATTTATGTATAAGTTTTACCTTGTGATTCTACTCATACTGCGCGTTCAATCGAGACATTCGATACATGCGATATCTTATCGATTTCTCGAGAACTGGTTGTCATCACTAAAGAAGTATAAAGTATAATTGGTCTAATAAGTTTCTAAAGATATATGTACTTGCTAATTTACTTAACAATAGGTCGGATGCAAGACTTCTAGGGGGTTTATAAGGACATATACTAGAAAAATAATACTTTATTTTACTCATATATATCCTAGCTAGCTACAAGTTCTCGAGTAATCGATAGAAATTGCATGTATCAAATGCGATTTCGATACATGCGAATCGAACTAAAAGCGGGGATTCGCATTTTTCCTAAAAGTCAACCGATGTTTTATGGTCTTAAAAAAAAAGAGGGTAAAACTACTTTAAAAGCTAGTTAAAGACTGAGCGAGGCTAATAAGTGAAAAAAAAAAAAAACGTAAATGACATATAAGATGCTACGGAAATGTTTTTTTTGTTTTTTAAGAAGTAAGGGAATGTATAAAAGAATTGTGGATGTATTGTATATCACTAAAAGTGGATAAAAACAAAAATAATTGAATTTTAGATACTTGTGTTCCAAATTACATCGCTCAGTCATTTAACTATCAGCTAAACATTTTTTTGTTGTTTCTTTCATTAAAGATTTTTGAGAAATGGATATCACAGTGAGATTTTCAAGCCTTACTCACTAGAATTATTTACCAACATTTCAACTTTTAAACTGTACATTGGTATTATGATTAGTGTTAGATCAAAAATGTTGTTATTCAATCATTAAACGCATGTATATAAAAACTAAATATTACTAACTTTATCTATGAATATCATAGATGACATGCACGTAAATCTACAAAAAAAATGCAATGTATCAGTGCGTTCTAAGTTTGATCGATTCGCAAAAAAGACAAAAAAATACAAAATCACGTTAACATGAAAAAGAAAAGAAAAAAAAATTTAAACGAGTCAGAAATATAGATAAAATATATGTAAGTGTCAAAAATTCTGACTGGGCTTGAATCGTGGGCAAGACCGACATTCCCTTTTGTTCCACAAAAGTAAAAAAGCTGAAACGTCGGTAAAGCAGGACGATGGATGCCGTATACGGGACAAAACGAGGGTTTTTATCTATAGCGCTAAAATGCTCAGCAAAAGGCCATTCGAGTTTTTTTTCCACATACTAAACTGCACACACGTATTACGGCTTCCAAGCTCCGTTGGCGACGACTCGTTTTTCATTAAGTACTTATCAGCTCTTTTAGGATACCTAGAGCTTACACATATGTGTATCGGTAAAATCGCACACCTCTCACGCAAACGCTCGCTGTCCAGTGGAGCGCAGCTCGTTTGCGCCGGCTGCCGGTTGGCGGCCGTTCGGCAAGTGTTAAGAGGAATTTTCCTGATTGTTCATCAGGATCGTTCTTTCGTTGTCTTCGACAGATTTTTGGCTACCTGCGGACAGTAGCTTTGCACCCTCGGTCAGTCCGTCCATCTCGATTCTCTCCTCCTCGTTCTCTTGTGAGTTCTTTGGCGGTTGGATCTGCAAATTCAGTAGAAAAAAAAAACCATGTAAAAGATATATACTTTTGAAACATATTCAAAATTACAAAAAAAACTACGTAGAAGATATGTACTTTTCGAAAAACCTTCAAAATAAAAAAAAATNGTTGTTAAATGTTATTAGTATACTACAAACAGTAAATAAATTAGTTGTTAAGATCGAATGGTGAAGAAAAATAATAAAGAATAAAAATTATTACGTCAAGTACACATACATGTTAAATATTTTCGATTTTCACACACAAAAATTTATAATTGTTTTGATATCTTACCCATTGTGTGTTTAACATACGTATATATCACTAATTGATGGCACAACTTTAAAATGAGGGGTTACACATGAATGGCGAAAATTGTCAATTGCATCGTATATGGGCATGAATAATTGATTCTATTTAAATAATGTCTTACCATCAAGAATATGTCCTGCGTGAAAAAACAATCCACCAATAGATTAATCCACAATTTGACAAATTTAATTTTTATTCCATCACAAAGCATTTTAATGTTTATAAACTATGAAAAGCAATGTTATGAGGTTAATTTTTTTTTTTTTTTTTTAATTGAATTTGTGTTAGAATATAAAGGCACGCTATAGAAACGTTGATAAAATGTGATTTGAAACTAGACTAAATGTTGAAAAAAATGTGTATACATAAATATATATATATATTTTTTTTGTTTTTTGAAAACATTAAAAGTTATTGATGAAAAATGATCTATTACAATAACTAAAAGCATGATGTTTTAGTGGTCGATTTTTTTGAGGATTGCAAGTAAATTATACTCTCAAGTGAATAAAAATACGTTTATTAAGATCAATTATTCATACATAAATAAAAATAAATTCTCATCAGCGGCACGTTCTATTGTCGGTAAGTCAGTGTTTTGTAAAGCATGTGCATGCTTTTTTTAAGTGGAAAATATCGTGTAGAAAAACTTAATTTAACAAAAAAATCGCATTTAATATTATTTTGTAAACGTAAAAATCATCTTTGGATTAGTGAGATTACGAATTTCTTTTTTGTTTTTTTTTGTTTACCAATTTTCGCAAATGTATTTTTCAGAGATGGGCGATAATTACACTATTTTATTTAATCTAGTATTTAAAAAATTTCTTTGAGTATATTTGGAGTTGAATGATCAACTTATCAAATATAAATTTATCTTAACAAAAAAATTCTTTTCATTAATTGTATCATAGGTATGGCATTTTAATAATTAACTGATCTATGAAAAAATAATGAATAATCGCTCGGAAAAGGGTTATGATTTTTTAATTTATTGAAATATGGAGGATGAATTCGTGATTTAAATTTGCAAAACAAACAATTTTCTAGGTAACATGAAAATATATGGTTTAAAATTCTCCAAATCTAGAATATTCGTATTTACGATAACCGACTGTTTAAAATAATTAAAGTTATCAAGAAATTAAGTCATAAATTAAAATTGAACAAAAAAGAGCACTATAACGTTCGGAAAATAAAACAATTTAATAAGTTTACTTAAAGGTGAGTCTCAAAGGGGTTTCAGTGGAGAAAGTTCACCGGCTGTGACTTTTTTTATTTCTACGAAATACTTGTTTACCCTCCCTCCCTATAACCTTCCAAAATTCTTAAGTATTTCATCTCAAAGTTGAGATGTTTTACACAGACGAAAAGATAACATTTTTGGGAACCTTGTAATTTACTAAACTAAATTAAGGAAGTTGTTGTTACGTGAATAAAATCTTGAGCTTTCAAACGGTACATCGAAATATTATTAGTGGCTGTGGAGAAAATTTTATCTATGAATATCATAGATGACATGCACGTAAATCTACAAAAAAAATGCAATGTATCAGTGCGTTCTAAGTTTGATCGATTCGCAAAAAAGACAAAAAAATACAAAATCACGTTAACATGAAAAAGAAAAGAAAAAAAAATTTAAACGAGTCAGAAATATAGATAAAATATATGTAAGTGTCAAAAATTCTGACTGGGCTTGAATCGTGGGCAAGACCGACATTCCCTTTTGTTCCACAAAAGTAAAAAAGCTGAAACGTCGGTAAAGCAGGACGATGGATGCCGTATACGGGACAAAACGAGGGTTTTTATCTATAGCGCTAAGACATCTACAAACTAGAGCACTTACGCAAGTACACACGCGATAACAAACTTCGAAGGACTAGGAATTAATTTACATGATCGTTATAATTGTATACGTTCTCATGCATTGTTTTCGTCGCTCGATATATAATAATAATAATGATAACATAAATTTCGCTTGCTACAGGATCGCACGCAAGAAAATGAATAAATAATTGGGTTTCCGCCGGGGATAACAATGAAAAATCGTCTAACTACACCATAAACAACACAACAAACAGAACAGCGCGATAACCCTGTTTCCATTTATTTATTTAATTTTTTTTTTTTTTACTATTTCATTTTTCATACAAAAACATCTACTTACGTGTTTGATTTTACGTTAGTCAATGAAGGATCTATCATAAGATGGCTTGTCTTTAGGTACGTAAAAAAAAGCTTTTTTATCATTATTCACCGTATAAGACGTTAAAATTTCTATTTCCCAGAAATACGATGTTGCTTTTTGTCTTTTGTTGCCACCTTGGATTTTATTCATGTTTTGCACTAATTTTTTTTATTAAAAAGTTACTTAAGAAGGTTCATGCGTAACTTCTAAGTAAAAGGTAATTATTAAGTACTACTTGTGTTAAAAACACGTCAAAATAATTGAGCAATAGCACAAAAATTAGGAATCTTGTCAAGACACCTTCGAGACGAAAATTTGTTTTTTTTTTGGGAAATTTGTTAACATANTACAATTTAAAAGAAAAAGTAAAAACTACGGGTGGATCGACTAATCAATAAAGTATTGGCTACAAGCGATGGCGGATATACAGACTCTTTCTCTCTGTGTCCTCGGAAGTGAACGATTCAGTCACACACAAAAAATTTCACGCGCATGAACTAAAAATAAACAGAAAAAAAAAAAAAAAAAAAAAAAAAACAACAACAGGACAGTGATAAGAGTGCATAATGCGAGTGAGAAAAAGGGGTACTCTGTTTTTTTTTTTTTTTTTTTTTTAAAGCGACACCAGACTCCGCGTGAGGCTCACCTTTTCCACCTCATCGTCGAACTGGTCCTGACTGACGGCCGTCGAGTCCTTTTGGCTGCTGCGCTCGAGCAAAGTGGCGCGCTTGGCCGCCAAATACATGGACCTCTTGATTTTTACGTAAAATATCTCGGTGATGGCTCGAACCGTGTAGTCCGGGACGAAGGTGTGGCGCAGCATGGCGTCAAGGTTGACCGACTGTATGCTGCCCAGGGTTTGGGGATTCGGGTTCGTCGGCGACTCGGTGACCATCGACGCTGCTGCTGGAATGGCAAATGTTACTGTCATGTGGTTGCTTGCTTTCGACAATTGATAAGGAAAGGGTCATATTTGCGTCATTTTATACGAGGGTAAGGAGATGCGGTGTCGAGCGATACTTAACGGGGAAAGTGTTTTTGATTTTGTCACTCGAACTCGGTCTCGAATGTTCATTGAGTCAGTTTATTGTTATTCAAGCGGAGTTATTATTAGACCATACCGTGGAATGTATTTTATTTCAGACATTTGTCACTTTGAGAGAATTTCTTTGAAAGTCATAATAAAAAAATTACAGAATTTTCCTTGTCTGTTTTATCGACTCGCAAATTAAATAGGCGTCGTTAGCTAGTCTCAATGATGAATAATATTGTAAAATATACTTTCGTGAGATAATACTTGGTCCGTACATGGTTCATTTCTTAGAGAATTTCTATTGTTACCGTAATGTTGAACAAGTTGCATTAAAAACTAGTAAATTCCACGTGCCTGTTTTACCGACACACAAAAAGATGTCTAGCTCCTTAAATCGTTTGGACTTTTATTGTTCATTCATTACCAAAATATGAATGAAATGACTTAATGGAAACAAAAATCTTATTTATTTGAGAAAATAATATTTTACTGAAAGATTTCGGCTAAAATTTGTGGATATGCCAGAACTCTCGTATGTAATTTTTACAAAAAATTAGGATTCGATTGAACAACAAGAGAGAAATAATTAAAATATCTTACCAACGCCAACGTTCGCGGCCAAAGCTTGGGTGCCAAAGTAGGAGAAAGGCCCGCTCTCGAACGTGAGGTTTTCCTTACCGACCATCACTTCGACTCTACCCTCGAGAACGAGTACGAAGTAATCGGCCGGCTTTCCTTGCTGATAAATCACGGTCGTTGGATCCCCCCGCGCTTTTTCGCGCGATTTCACTTTTATGTGACAGATGATATCTTGCTTGAGGAGACGCCGTAAAATCGTCTCGGATATCACGTCCTGCTTGAAGGCATCGACGCCTGTTTTGAAACACAATAGCACGTTATTATTATTATTATTATTATTATTATTATTATTATTATTATTATTATTATTTCATTATCGGCGTTTCTAGTGAAATCAATGTATCGAATTCTTATCGCCTTATCCCGCGACGCGCGTTACGCCCAATACAATCGACACACGCGGTTTATCTAATCTTCGAAACTGGGAAGCTCAAGAAGATACACATTCAATAAGATTTCGTGCGAAAGTATATACGGACCTTCCTTGAATTGCTTGAATATGACGTCCAGCGTGACGTCCTCGAAGACAAAGTTGCAGGGGTTCTGGTAGAACTGACAGTGCGTTTTCAGGGGCATGTTGTCGTCGGGATCGCAGAGCGCCAGGTCCTTGATGTACATTATCGTCACGATGTTGGTGCGAGTGCCTTCGTATACAGGGATGCGCGAGTAGCCTAAAAATACAACCATTCAATTTCACCATACGAGGGATTCGATGAATCGTTTTGTTTTACGCGTAATCGCAATTCACGGGTAGGAGAGCGTGACTCCCTTTTTTTCTAAATCCATCAATGATTATGATAAGTACAACTGTTTGGACAGAAAAATCGGTCCCAAGTTATGCAAGGGGATTGACTCGATCTATACGAAATACATGGCACGTAGAAATGAAAAAGAAAATAGTTGAAGTACACACCAGATGACATGATTTCGGAGACAGTTTCGAAATCCAAGATTCTGTTGTGGTCGAGCATGTAAACGTCGTCGATGTGCGTCATTATGTCGGCGACTGTTTTTTTGCGAAGCTCCAGGGCACCTGCAATTATGTCGACCTCGTCTTTTTCCAAATCGTTGTACCCCGTAGTGACCTAAAAAAAAATAATAATTTTTCTTCCGTAAAATTGATTAACTGTAATTAACAACAACTCTCATGTGTTGGCTGATGCAAACTTATAATTGCGATTTGTGCAATGACGTCTTTACGTTAAGATGCGGGTCACAGATCTTTTTTTTTTCACTCCACGGACGTTTACTATTGCTGATGTGGCTAGATAATAAAGAAAAAAAAAAGAAAAAGTTTACGCAAAATTGCGATGCCGATCGTCGTTGAGACGCGTCAGGCAAGAAATCGGCACACGAATTACTTATGGAACCGGCGTACATGCGATCTTTGAAAAAAAAGGATCGTTTGGTTCAATAAACTCTCGCTCGCTCGGTGACACGAATACTACGGACGCACGTGTAATTATGAGGAAAAAAAGGTAATCGATGCTTTTGCAACTATTTTTCGATTTTTTTTCTTCAAATTTGCATAAAACTCACATATTATATCGTAGGCGTGTAGGTCTTATCACAGGTCGATTTGAGAATCGCTGGATGGCGGGCACCATTGGTGCGTGAATCGCTGATGCGTGTTTGTACTTTGTTTGCTCCCCCATATAGCTTTGTCTTTCTCACTGTGTATGCTAAAATATATCGCGTGACGCTCGGGTATTATGTCTGGAGGGTTTGGCTCGTCGAGATACGTGTATATTTTTCGTTGTGTTTTAATAATAATGTTTTTATCTCGAGTTACGTTTTCGGATGGAGTCTTGGTCGGGAAAAACGTGTACCTTATCTTGGGAAGGGAAAATAAAAAGTGGACAAATATTTTTTATCGCTACAGTAAAGTTTCGATTCCGAGAATTCTATTTGATATTGTATAATCATAATGTTGTTTTTTCTTCTCCATAAACGCAAATCGTTCCCAGAACGCTTGGATGAAAGAAAATTGCGAAACAGAGTATTCGAAACGGAAAATACAAATTATGGGCGGTTTACTCGGTAGAATAGTTGGAAAATGGCACTTATTTCCTTGAATCGCCTGTAATTTTCGTGTATTTTTTTTTCTCGCTCGATACGTCGATTTATAAAATTACGAATATGTAAAAGTGGCAAAATCGGTGCTGATGCTCCGCTCCGCACCCAACAACAGATACTTTTTATCTTCGGTGACCTCATATAAGGCAAACACACAGTTCGACAACAACAAAAACATCAGCGTTTAAAAAGCCATTTCTCCGCCACTATAAAAACACATAGGAACTCACCTTAACGAGCTCCTTGAGCCGCTCGCGGTTGTAAACGTTACCGATCTCCTCGCCCAGACAAAAGTCCAGTATCTTGCTGATCGGGTAGCTCAGCGGGAACGTGATCAGCATCGTCATTTTGGTGACGTATATGGTCTTGGCGCCGATGCACAGACCGTGTCTGCTGCAAATGGCCTGCGAAAAAAAAAAAAAAAATCATAGATCGGTAAGTATCGGATGCGAGATCGGTATGGTTTTTTTCTTTTTCTGGCACGATTGTACCTGCGGCGATATTTCACCGATAATGACGATCGCGAGGGTCGAGCAGAAGACGGCAACAGCCCCTGAGGTCAACTCCTCGAGGATGATCGTGAATATCGAGTTGACCAGCACGTTGGAGAAGAGAATCGAGCAGAGCAGGTAATTGCCGTGGTTGCGCACCGGGGATATGGTACGCGCGTATTGTTTTTCCTTGAAACACCAGGCAAATTTCGATTAGTGGTAACTGACGACGCACGTGCGCGATGATAACATTGAAAAAACAATTCTCGTTTTGAATCAATAAACAAAAAGGAGAACGAAAATTATTTCCTCGCAATATCACGTGTGTGATGATGTTATAATGGGCGGCTTTACTTTCTCTGTACCGGTGTTGCAGAGGATCTTGAGCTCCGTTCTGTCGATCGCCATCAGGCCGAGGTTGAGGCCCGAGAATAGGGCGGAGAAGGACAGGCACGTCAAAATGATCACGATGCTGAGCCACAAAGGAAGTAAACTTTTATACGTATGTATCTAAAAGTTCACGGGTATTTTCATATATAATATGTCGTGTGCCGGCTGCTTCTTGGGGTTAATCTCTTATAAATAATTTTTTTTTCCTTTTTTTTTTTTTTCATTTATTCATATTTGCGAAATAATCAGACTTGGGCAAAAGTACTTTTTCAATGGACTCGCCATCAGGGTTTTAAGGAATATTTAATTTTTCAACGAAACAATTGCAATTGAAATTTATTAAAAGTTATTCCAATCAAGCATTGTTTAAGAAAAGAAGAAAATGTTTAAACTTGAAAAGTTACGTTTATAATTAATAAATTTAATAATTTTTCAACTAAAAAGGAAAAAAAAATTGAAAAGAATGTCGTCATGTCCTTTGAAACATATTGCGTTATATTTTTGATGAAAAAAATTTTTAAAAACATACAAAATAGTTGTGCCCAAGCCTGTGGTAATTTTTGATAAGATAAAAACACAGAAAAAATAGAAAAATAGCGGAACTTACAGTTTTGTATCTCTCCGGGCCTTGGTGACGGAACAGGTCGTCTCGGACACCGTCGAGGTTCAGCTGCGCCGCGCATATGAAGAACGGCGAGCCCAGAGGAAGAGATATGTTGGCCACGGCCGTTATGTCTCTCTCGACGTCTCTCACCTGTGGACGGATAAAGTCAAACGCTATATATCAACCGATTGTTCATTTCCCAAAAAAAATTATAGAATTTCTTTTACTATTTTTTTTCTTTATCTTTCGTCTATTCGTGTCAGTTGTAACGGAGATACGAATGTGTAATGACGTTCTGGTAATGATTTTCACGGAGTGGGTGCAATTTTGTTTCACAGTCCGTTTACACGGTGTTTAATGGGTTTCTAGTAATTCCAATAAGATATAGACGAAGAGCGATAATTGATTACAGTTGAAAAAAAATTTTCAAATTTTTTTTTTTTTTTTAATAACAGTACCAAAGTTAAACTTATTACTCTTTGTTTTAAATAATAATAGACAATTACGACATTTCGTTATTATTTTGCACACTTTATTCTACATTTTATTTTATTTTTTACTTTGATGGTACTCGCAGGAGCGCCTTTATCTTATTATACACAGAAATCTACTTTGCCGACACAATCAATTTTTCAGATCTAATAATTGTTTAGGATACTTTATAATTTTTACTTAAAACTTAATCAGATAATGTATAAAATTTTGATCGAACGGCTCTACAATTCAATAAAATTAATCCTAATTAAGACGTTGTGTCGGTAAGATAGATTTTCATGTTGCGAGTCGAGTACTACACCCCCTTGCAACGTGATTATTTTTTAAGAACGTTGCCTACTTATATAAAATAATAACAGAATTTTATGAAAGTTGAGAATAGTGATATTTAGATTATTTTGATTTTACTAATATTTTTCTAACATGTGTTACAATATTGAGAAATGACGAGATAAAAAACCGTGTTAACATGGGCTCTCATGGAACGGCTGCCGAATCTTCATTAAAAACTATGATAAAAATAATACATGTCAACAAAACTGCTAAAAAAACTATTTAAGGAGTAATCTTGCAAAGTTTCGCCCATGTTATGATACTTTTTACAACCGATTAAAACATTAAAATTCGTTAAAATCCCTTTACAAAGCACACATTAGATTAGTATTCTGCTACGCTAAATTCATTGTATTGAAGGTATTGATAATGTAGTTACCTACCAAAAAATATACTAACTAGTAAACGTCTTCAAACTAGTGTGTGTGGATTTTTTTTTTTTTTTATTACGTGGT